TAACTTTTTTCTTTCTTTCTTTTGCAGGAGAATCTTTTTTTTTTTTTTTTTTAATGAGAATTGTTACTCACTTTTTTCCTCTCTTTCTTTCGTTATTTTTTTACAGCTTATTTTTTTTTTGTTATGAAGGTCTTCGATACTGGGATTTTCATTATACTTTATATATATTTATTCTGTCATCACTAATTTTGTCATTATTGATATTGTGATTTGGTGATTATCCTTATGATAATGATTGTTATTTTCATTTGTTTCATTTTCATCTGTTTCATATCATTTTTGTCATTACTGTTATTATCCTTAACGATATTATGGTTTATTGAAATTCATTATGATTATCATTGTCATTTATATTATGTTTGGTTGTAAGTAATACGATAATTTCTGTAAATATCGTTATTATTATCACTGTGACTCCTCTCTTTGTTTTGTCATTATTATTATTATTGTTATTGTTCTTATTATCATTATCATTAGCATTACAGTATCATTTGATCATTATTATCATTGTCATTGTATTTATAATCATTATCATTTTTATCATAATAGTAATTTATTATTATTATTATTATTCATTATATAATATTAATTATTGATGATGATGATGATATGAATTTAATGTAATAATAATAATAATAATAATAATAAAAATAATAATATAATAATAAAATAATAATTAATAATAATAATAATAATATAATAATAATGGTAATACTACTACTATACTAATAGTAATAATAACAATAATAACAATGATAAATAATGGAAATGATGATTATAATGATAATGATGGTAATAATTGTTATCATTATCATTATTATTGAAATTATGATCATTTTTAATATCATTATTATTATCATTATATCTTTGCTATTATAATCTTCGTCATTGTATAATTAATGTTATTATTATTATCGTTATTATTATTACTATTATTATTTATTATTATTATATTATATCATTATTTATTATTATCATTATATTATTATCATTATTATATTATTATTATTATTATTATTATTATTATTATTATTATTATATATTATTATTATTATTATTATCATTATTTATATTATTATTATTATATATTATTATATTATATTATTATTATTATTATTATTATATTATTATTATTATTATTATTATTATTATTATATGCTGCATTGCAGCAATAGTTTAAAATAATCTTAATAATCATTATTAACGTTTCATATTCATCATCATTAATATCCTCATTATTAACATTATCATTACTACTCTTATTTACGTAATTACCATTTTCTTCATTATTATCCTTATTACCATTATTGTTATTGTTATTATCATTATTCATGTTATTATTTCATTATTATTATCATTTCATCCTATCATATCATTACTTTCATTATTATCATTATCATTATTATTACAATATAAGACTTTATGATTATATGTATTATTGCAATATACCTCATCATTATTATTATCATATTTTCTTTTTTTGTCAATATACTTATCATTATAATGATTATTGTCATCATCATCATCTCTTTTTTCTTGTTTCCCATCCTTCTTTCTGTCTCTTTCTCCCTCTTTCTATCTATCTCACTCTTCCCCATTTCTCTTTCTCTGTTATAATTCCTGTCTGTCTGTCTGTCTGTCTGTCTGTCTGTCTGTCTGTCTGTCTGTTCTGTCTGTCTGTCTTCTGGCTGTCTTCTCTCTCTCTCTCTCTCTCTCTCTCTCTCTCTCTCTCTCTCTCTCTCTCTCTCTCTCTCTCTCTTTCCTCCTCCCACTCCCTCTCTCTCCCCTCCACTCCCTTTCTTCCTTTCTCCCTTCCTCTCTCCCACTCTCCCTTCCTTCCTCTCTCCCTCTCTCCTTCCCTCCCTCCCTCTCCCTCCCTCCCTCCTCCCACTCCCCTCTCTTCTCTCTCTCTCTCTCTCTCTTATCATTCTCCTCCCCCCATTACTCCACCTCACCCCCCCCCCATCCCCCCCATCCCCCCCCCACCCCCCCATTCCTTCCTGCCAACGCTGTGCAGGATATTACGTTAAGACAATTAACAGAAATATAATTATTGTTCCACGCTGCAGCCCGCTTTGCTTCGCGCACCTGGAAATGCCTCAGGAGAAGAGGAGGGAGAGAGGAGGAAGAAAGAGGAATAAAGAGAAAGAGGAAGAAAGAGGAAGGGAAGAAAGAGAAGAGGAGAAGAGGAAGAGGAGGAAGAGAAGAGGAGGAAGAGGAAGAGTAAAAGAGGAAGATGAAGAAGAGGAAGAGGAAAGGAAGAGGAGGAAAAGCAAGAAGAAAGAGGGAAAGAGGAAGAAAGAGGAAGAGGATAAGGAAAGGAGAAGAGGAGGGAGGAAGAGGGAGAGTAGAAGGAAGGGGAGGTGGAAGAGGAAGAGGAAGGAGAGGAAGAGGAAGAGGAAAGGAGAAGAAGAGAAAAGGAGGAAGGGGTGAGAGAAGATGTAAGGGGAGGTGGAAGAGGAGGAGGAAAGGAGAAGGACGAAAAGGAGGGAAGAGGGAGAATAGAAGGAAGGGAAGGTGGAAGAGTGAGAGGAAGGAGAGGAAGAGTGAGAGTTAGGAGAGAGAGAGGAAGGAGAGGAAGAGTAAAGAAGGAAGAAAATGAAGGGAAAGTGGAAAAAGAGAGGAAGTGGAAGGTGAGAAGGAAGAGAGATAGAAAGGAAGAGGCAGATTAGTAAGGAGGAGAGGAGGAGGAAGAAGAAGGAGACGAGGAAGAGCAGTAGGAAAGAGAAGAAAAATAGAGAAAAAGAAGGGGAGGAGGATGAGAAAGAGGGAGAGAAAGGAAAGAAGGCAGAAAAGGAGGAAGAGGAAGAGGGACATGAAAGGAAAAGAAAAGAGGGAAAGAATGAAAAGAATGGGAAGGAGAAGAAGGCGGAAGAGGGGAAAAGAAAGAGACGAGGAAGAGCAGAAGGAAGAGGAACGGAGGAAGAGAAAGGTTAAAGGGAAGAGGAAGAGAGATCAAGAAAATGAGGAAGAAGAAGAAGAGGGAGAGAAAGGAGAGGAAGAAGGTAAGAGCAAGGACGAAAAGGAAAGAGGAGAAGGAAGGAGAAGGAAAAAAGGAAGGCGAGTAGGAAGAGGGAGAGGAAGAAGAGAAGAAATGAAGAATGATAGGAAAGGAGAAGAAGAAGAGGAAGGAGAAGAAGAAATGAAAGAGAAAAGAGGAAGGAGAGGAAAAAGCAAAGGAAGGAGAAAGAGGAACAGGGAGGAAAGAAAGAAAGAGGAAGAAGGGAAAGGAGAGGAGGGAGATGAATAAAAACAGAAGAGGAAGAGGAAAGAAAGCAGGAAGAGGAGGAAGGAATAAAGAAGAAGAAGAATACAGAAGGGAAAAAGGGGATAAGGGAAGAAGAAGAAGAAAAGAAAGAGAACGGAGAAAAGTAAAAAGAGGAAGGAAGTAGGAAGAGGAATAAGAAAAGAGAAAGAAGAATTGGAAAATGGAGTAAGCAGGAAGGGGAAAATAGGAGGAGGAAGAAAGGAATGAAGACTGAAACACGGAAATGAAGGAGAAGAGAGAGAGAAATGAAGACCAAGCACGAAGGATGAAACGAAAAAAAGATACCATAAATTGAATAAATAAGTAAAAGAAAATGAAATTAAACACATCAGCAACAAAGAAGAGGAAGAGAGAAGAGACATGACAATCAATAATAATAAAGATAAAAAAAGGGAAGAGGAGAAAACGGAAAAAAATTAGAAAGGAAAAGGAAGTTAGAGGAAGGCGAAAATAAAAAAAGAAGAATAAGGAAAAGGAAACAAAATTAAAAGATAAAATGAAAAAGACAATGAAAAACTAAGAACAGTAAGAAGAGAGAGAAGGTGGATAAAAGATAATGAAGTTATAGCCACACGGTGCGGAGAGAACGCAAGATGGCTTATTTTCACCGGGGCGATTGATTACAAACAGCTGCAGAACGTACATCCCGCCTCTGCCACAAGACATTAGCGATGAGAGACAGAAGGGGAATGAGAGAGAAGAGGGAGGGGAGAGAACAGAGAGGGAGGGAAGGGGAGAGGGGAGGGGGGAGCGAGGGTAGGGGGAGAGGGGGAGAGGGTGAAGGGGAGGGACCGGGAGAGAGAGCGAAGGCCTGGAGATGAGGGAGGGAGAGATAGAAGGAGAGGAGGGAGAGAGAGAGGTCCCTCTATCTAATATTCTAGGAGGGAGGGAGAGAGGGGAAGGGAGGGGAGGGAAAGAGAGAGAGAGAGAGAGAGAGACGAAAGAGAGAGAGAGAGAGAGAGAGAGAGAGATGACGACGATGACCGCGTGGAGAGAGAGAGAGAGCTCTGAGANATATATATATAAATATATAATTTTATATAATATATAAATTTCATATATAAATATATATTATATATAAAATATAAATTATATTATAAATATAGAAATATATATATAATATATATAATATATATATATATATATATAATATATATATATATATATATAAATATATATAATATATATATATATATAAATATATAAATATATAAATTTATATATAAATATATAAATATGCAATTATATACATGCTTACATACATACACACATACATATATTAAATAATTGATAATTTTACACCCATCTCATGGCATGAAAACATAACCATTATAGTGAACCAGACTTTTCTTTTAAAAATATTTCCCCTGAATCTGCTGAGGCAGGGTTCCGCAATATTGAAAAAGAGAAAATGAAGTTTGCATCTTTTGCACTAGGAATCTTTGAAATATACAATGTCCAGTTTCATGAAAAAGTGAAAATATTTCAATTATTATTTCTTTACAAAAAGGAAAAACTGTTTGCTTACTAATACTATCCTAGTTTGAGATTTTTTGATGAACTAAAAATATCCACACTGAGGTAAATTATTCTGCATGCAGTGCAAGTTATTGGGAATTTCAGCCTACAGGTGAAAATCTAAATGGAGACCAAAATTTTCAGGGAAAAATATTGAACTTGCTTGACACACGCACCTGTAGTATTAACGGTATTGCAGAAAAAATATACATTATAAATATTCAGCATAAAATATGTTTATTTTTTTCTTTTCATAAAATGGAATGTTATCAAATCATAGTCTTTCACACTACACACCATAATGAGAGCCAACAGAAAAAATCCCTTAAATAGTATTATCCATCATTCTATACAAATACATTCCTATTTGTTAACATTCATCAATAAAATTATAACTACACAACATTATGCCCATATAAGTATAACTAAAAAAAGACAACATCATAGCACCAGAAAGAGTCAACAGAAAGAGGAAGTTGAAACAGAGGCTTTGCATGATTGTACTATATACAGTAATGATTCTCCTTACAGGATGGAGCCATGGACTTTAACTACCCATTGAGCTTCAAAACATAGAGAATAAATGTTAAATGAGGAAAATAAATCAATCCCCTAAACAAAATATTGTATTTACATTTAAGGAAGGCCCTCAAATATTTATAGTCACTGGTTATTCAAAGTAAAAATAATAATCTTTGATAAATTACAAGTAATTTTTAAACTTTAAGAAAGTCAAAACAAACAATTTTGTATAAAATTGCATCACATTTGTAAAATGGAATGGATCCGTCATTAGCGACCATCAGCAAATACTATCCAATGATTTACATCAATTCCTGTAGCAACTTCACTTTCTCAAAATAAACTCACTGTCTTTGTGGTACTGGCTCTGTCCAAAATCAAGTCTCTAAACACATACATATTATGAATCATATACTTACAGAACAATCTCTCTTATATCCTCTGCTTCCAGAATGTTCAAAATATTTGAAAATATATATCTACATTGGATGAATAACTTTAAAACAAGTACAGATTCCACATCACCATACATAACCTTATAAATAAATTTTAAAACTGTAAAAACAAATTCATTCCACTTGATGGAAATGGCATTTCAATGGCACATAAAGAGTTCCTACATTGGCACATGATATAAAACATTCTTTTATCTACTGTATTTAAAAAACGGAATGAAAGGAGAATACAGTAAGAGAGAGTTGGCAAGAATGACAGAGAGGAATATGCTTTATAAGTTAATGAATCCACATCTGTATATTCAATTATATGAAAATCAATTATAAACTTGCTCACATCAAAAAATAATAAAATACATTACTCATTTCACTATAAAAGACACAGTTCAAATACAAATTTCTTGCGTAGCGACACCAACAAAGTGGTAGTTCCCTTACGTGCACTGTTATATAATTTTCAAACATCTATATGAACATACATTTTTAAGAAGTTACTGGGAATAAGGTACAAGTTAAATACACTGTAAAGATCTTACGAATGGTAACAAAAGCCAGGGCTCCAAATCTCTTTTACCTGTCAGTGTGTGGGTGTCAATATAATAGCAGTAGTAATAGTTAAATCCATATTATTAGCAGTCTAATCAGACAGTGAATTGGATAATGATTATACTAATAATTCATAAGAAGGAAGAAGTAGAAAAAAACAGTACTTATCATCATTATCAACAAGAAATTCACAAGGAACATTCTTAATAATGTAATTAAAAGTAATGAAAAGTTAATAATTAAGTATAGAAATTCATACTAGCAGAAGTCGAAGAAACTGTAATATCAATAATGCTGATAACTCGAAAATTAAATAATAATCTAATAGTCAATTACAGGGGCACAATCCATGCACTATGCTCAAAAAGTGAAAATAATCAACAATGAAGATATATATCTACCTCTAATAACTCATAAAAAAATGGAAATGGTGGAGACGAATCACTAAAGCTAATAATTTGAATATTGAAATAATATCAATTTCCAGCATTTCAAGAGGTTGGAGTCCTGGCTAAAAGCACCAATTTTCTCAAGCATTCATTTGCAATCATGAAAGTGAAGAACTTATACATGGATAGGTCTCATGCATACATATTAAAGAGATAAACCTCTTGTAACAGTTTTATGAAAGATCACCTAAAATAATATTCATCTAGAAAAGCTTGTATTACCTGAGAGCTAGCAAGCATAGCTACCACAAATCAAAACACTTGTACTTTACATGCATGTGTACCAAAAATACACTCATTCTTACTACCCATTTGCCATTAGTGTTTCAATACATACATTTCATGAGTGTTTCACTACACATTTATAGAGGAAGTGTTTCTTGGTGCACACACCATTAGGAAGAGGTATATCATAGCGAGTGTTTTCTCTTATATGGGAAAGAATAGCCAAAACCCTTATACCACATTGAGGTAATTATGAGATTATCAAATCCAGTTCACATATCTAAATATAATTTGTTCCTCTTTTACATAAAATAATTTCATACTGATATAAATAATTCATTTTGAATACTACAATAAAATCCTTCACAAGTTAATTAACAGTTTTGCAGTATTAGAGCGGTCTGTGAAAGTATATTTTAATTACTAAGTATCATTCTCAGAACTGTCTGTTATTCCTCTCTTGAATATTAATTCAGTAAATCAACATTTGAATTCTTATCATAATCAGCACAGCAATTAAAGCTCATCACACCAATGTGTGCGCACAAACTTGATTAACTGGTATTTCCTGGGTGAATACATGTTCATCCTTGCCCTGAAATGCAAACCCAAATACAGCCTTTTAGAATAACAGTAACTATACCCTCTTCTGGACTTGACAGAAATATTTGTACTAAGAGCCAAATGAGTTTAATTTTTGACAGTGACTTTTGCTCTGTGTACATCTAAAGTTCTAATGTGCAAAATCTACTTCTAAAAATTTTGTTTTTTATTTCTTGAACACTTCTTACTTTTTCTGTAAGTGAAGTAGGAAAGATACCATTTTGTAAAGTAATTTCCTTCAATTTCATAAACAAGCATCCAGTTCTTCTGTTATGTATATACAAATATATATACATATATATACATACATAT